CCCGCGAAATCAGTAGAGCACCCCTAAAGTTTGCTTATTAATTCTATTTTTTTAACGTCGACCGTTTGTTTTCACCGAGCCACCGGCTCTGGGCGTGAAGATTAAAAACAAAAAAAGCTCGCCGACCAGACTCACTTGGGCGCCCCGGCACCTAGAAGCCCGACATATGGTTTCCAAGTGAGGGACTTTCAAAAGTTTCCCCGACGCCTATAGGTGGGCGATATTCTCTTGCGGCGTTGTGGTGCTTTCAAGTTCAATACCGTGAGAGTACTAGTCCGAAAACACACAGACACGCACACATACAAAAAGAAAAAAACAAGTTGTTGAAAATACCCGTTTCCCCTTCGCCGGCGAGTTCAGCCAACTTTCAGACGAGAAAGGCACCAGAAGCCGAGCTGGCACAGAGGAAGTCGAGAGTTTTGCAAGGCACCAGGAGGTCCCGTCTCGGTCCGCGTTACTTGAATTAAAAACACCCGACACCGTTAAAACACCGGGCTTTGTCTCATTTGCACTTACCCCGGCGCCGTCCCGAGCGAAAGCCGGCCGGCAGCGAGTTCCGAACTGGCGTCGCTTAAAACCCCGTCGGCAGAGCCGTGTGCCTCGGTCAAGGGGAGACGGGAGCAGCCGCACTCAACGCAACTCGGCCCCCAGAAAAAAAAAAAGTTTGCGAGGTGTGGTTCCTACTCTTCAATCAGGAAATTCTTAGGTTTGAAAGAGAAAAAAAAAAGACCCAGCTCATTTTCCTCAGGAAGCTGAAGGAGTGGGTGGGAGAGGGGCGCCCCCAGTGGCTGGCAGCGGGTTTTGCAAGTGCAGAAATTACACGCCGACTTGTTCGTGCAGAGAACTGGCCTGCGGCTTCATTTATTACATCGAGCGGACCAAACGACCGGTTGGAAAAAAAAAAAGATACATCTCGTCTGCTGAAAATAAAAATGCTATTCTGCCTTCCACCTGTAAAGTAAATGTACAAGATTTATGTACAAGAGGCCTGTGAGCTTATATATTTGCATACACATTTGTATAAAACACGAATTTATATTTGTATGCAAATATACAATGGAAGAAGTCCGTTTGGGGAAAACAATACCAAAATACGAATTAGTGACGTCAGTAATTAGGTCATTTACTTCCTGAAGGAAAAGCCTTGATCCTAGTTATGACGTCACAGCTGCATTAATTGCCCTTGCAGGCGCCACCGTCGATACCTGCGGATCTCATGGCGGCCGAGCTTCAGATCCCAAGAGTCGACAGCCCCCCAGAATTCAACAAGACACAGCTGCAGTATCCCCCACCCAGCCCCGAACGAGGACGAGACGCGCCGCCGCCCTGATTATAACGGTAGGTCATCAATAACGTCCGCGTGCAATCAGGGGATCAATCGGCGGCGGCGGCGGCGCGCCCGCACAAGGCAGGCAGGTGGGCGTGGCCGCGGGCCGGGGGCGTGCCCGCCTGCCTGCGCGCCCTGCAGAAGCGCGATCCCGGCTCAGCATTGCGAGGTTCGGCGGCGGAACAAAGGCGCCTATTCACTGCCCTGCTGGCTCGGGACGCCTGGTTTGTTTTTGTACAGAGAGAGAGAGAAAAAAGTCGAGGGTGGTTTCTATTCGCTGCGTGGTTGAACTGCGAGGATTAAAAGGTAAAACTGCCCAGCTTGAATTCCGTCATTTTTCTCGCTTGTGTACTTCCAGGCACATAGGGACATATATTCCAGACGCAGGTGCGCCTTCACCGTTGAAATCCTATTAAAGCCCGTGTTCTTCTAGACAGAGCTTATGTCTTGAGTATTATTATTGTTTAAATTTTGCCCTTATAAGCATTTATTTATCAGCATGAACAGAAATAGCGCATCCTCGCCTGTCGCGTCTGGCAGCCTATTTTTAGGGTTCATATGGGGAGATGATGAAGCTTCTTGCTAAATGCGGGTGTGTTAGCGGTCAGAACGCAGGACCGAGACGGGCTCGGGAGGCTGGCAGAAAGGAAAGGGGACAAATGGGGAAATAAGATGGAAGATTCTATTTTATTTTCGCCGGTAAATAGACAACCCCCCCCCCCCCAAAAAAAGGAAGACTTCACTATATTACGGTACTTAAAAACCGTATGCATGCACATCTCTTGAGAAGAGTACAAAGCCGACAGAACCGCACCGGCTCACACGTCGTCGTGCAGCGCTTCCAAACCTGAAAAAAAACCGCCATATTTCTTTACACGGTTATCCATCAATGGATTTATTTTTTCTTATTGTCCTCGATAAGGTCGGAGATCCGCCGGGACAGGTGGGCGGTGGCTGAAGACGAAAGATTTCGCGATGCGGGTGGGTGTTGTCCGTGGAGTGGGGAGGGGGGGCTGCGGCAGTGGGCCTGTGTCCGGGGGGGGGGGTCGTGGCCCCCGGTGGGGGGGGCGCACCTTTCAGAAACTGCCCGTCGGCTGCACTGCGGCGGGGGGCGCGGGCGTTTCTCCCCAGGAAGGGCGAGACGAGGCCCACCGCCTGCTCGCGCATAGTTCGGCTCTGATTGCCGGTAATGACCGAAGGGTATTGATTTTGGATTTCTTTTTTTTGGGGACGACGACAAAGCAAATCACGTTGGTAGGGAGGGGATACCTTCTAGAATATTCCATAAAACTGCCCCAAGACCCCTTGTCTGTCCAAACTGCAATAAACAAGTACCGAATACGGCACCCCCAGGAAAGCACTGATTGAACTTATTATTGTGTTGTCGGAACCCCTCCCCAGATGAAGGTGTCGGCCCGGGACTGTAACGACAGGATATCCGCAGTCGACAGCGGTATTGAGCGCCCGCGATACCGGGGCCTGAGCGGCGTTAACGGTCAGCACCGTCGAGAGGCGGGGGAAGAAAGGTCTTTCTTCCACAGAGCTGGCGGGTCAGGGGTGAGGGGCGGCAGCCCGCCGCACAAAGGCGCAGCTGTTCCAGAATTAACGCTTAATGTATTCCTCCCTCGTCACTTGTGTACACATGAAAGACGGCGTTCAGAAATACGGAATTCCGACAAGGAACGGAATATGCAAAAACGTGCGTGTGTGTATGTATATAGAAAGTAACACGCGGGAGGTTCCCTCCGTTTGAAGTCCTTCAGGAAAGTGCGTGCCTCGCCAGAAGGAGCGTTTTCGTGCTTGTAAACGCTACGGTGTAGGCTTGGTTTCCCGTCCTCGCGTTTCCGGCAATAGTCTGAGTAACAATGCTGCGACGGCGACAATGTCAGACGGGGCCCCGGGGCGTGTCTCTACATGGAGGGTGGTGGGAGCGTGGAACAGGCAGCTCATCCAGGCTGTTGAAGCCGATGCCTTGGATTCTTTCAGCCTGAAGCACAGTTATCTGTGCCTGAGGGCAGCTTTAGTCCTGACCTCCATGCTGGGAACCATGTGTCCCTAATAAACAGCTAAAGGCCTGTGAAACATGCACCCCAACCCTCTGATGCTGAATTGAATGAACGAGTGACTGATCAGGCCTTTTCAAGTGCTCTCCTCTCTTGGGGAAAAAAATGCTTAAGAGTATTGGCAGGAAAAGATCTTTCATTTACCTGTTGCAGATCTGGAAACCATTCTGAAGTATCGAATTTATTATTAATTAAATCTGCGTCTCTCGTCTTAGTTCCCAGAAGGCCGGTCAGTGTGTCTGCCGGCTCTCCGGATCTGTTTATAGCAGCAGCACCTGAGGAGCTGGGACAAGCTGTTAATTGGACCAGTTTGTCAAGAAAGCTGATTTGAGGTTAAGAGTTGAGCTGGAATGAAAACCTGGAGGTGCACTATTCTAATCCAGGATCAGGATTATGAAGGTCTCCTGATCTAATTGTATCGATCAGTACTTTCCCCATTCAGTTCCTGGTGACCTCACTGTCTGCTGTTCTTGTGTTCCAGCTGAGCTAATACCTGTTTGATTTAGTTTCTAATTTAACCAATTTGCTAATTAGATCTTCCTGAACTGTTTTGGGATCTAGAACTGTTGGCAGTTTTAATTTGCAGACGTTCTGAATCGCATTGAATTAATTATTTGCTAAGTGGACATGCTTGTCCAGGGCGATTCACAAAACCTACAATACACCAAGAAATGTTACAGAACAAAACATTCCAATATAGTCAAATGATTAAAATATTAAATGAAATTAAATTAAAATATTGGGAAAGGTAGACACATTCAATTGAGGCATGAATAGACAACTCCAGTCTTGGAATACCAGTTATAGTAAGGTTATTCTGTTTTTAATTTTTCCCCACTCACCTTACTTTATTGCACTAATTACTGTAAGATATCAGGTTGCCTATGTTTGTAGATCTTGCAAAAAAATAACCAGTTACTAATTGAAAAGTACCTTTCAAAATATGGCTGAATGCCAGGTCATATGCCCTGAGTTTTAGATTCAAATAAGAAACTGAGAGACTAATTACCAGACAATACATTTATTTTCCTTCTTACTATTTATTTATTTTCATTTTTTTTCTTCTTCCTGCATCTCTGCAGTTGAAAATGCTGGACACCCTGAACAGCCAATACGATTCCTTCCTCTTCTGGAGGCAGCCAATCCCGGAGCTGGACCTGTCGGAGCTGGAGGGCCTGGGATTGGTCGACGGGGTGTCCATCAAGGGCAGCCAGGGCGGGAAGAAGCAGAAGAGCTCCCAGAATTCCCGGCAGTGGGAGGAGGAAGAGGACGAGGGGCTGTCCAAGTACAACACTTTCAACTACTGGAGGGAGCCCATCATCGCCAGCATCGACACTCTGGACTTTGACCTGCTGTGATGGCCGTCTCCCCAGACACTGCACACTGTCCACCTGTAGCTTAAAGCACCTTCCTGAAGTTTTTGGCCTGCTCTTCCAGGAGTCGGCAACCTTGGTGCTTCCATTCCATTCTGAGTCCTGCATGATCTGTGATCAATAGTCAATGAAGCAGTTAAAAGTTGTGGTTGGATCAAAGCTCTGGAATGGGACAGCCAAGGTTGCATAACGTTAGTGAAACAACCGAATGCTCATGAAGTCGTTTGAGTAGGAAGTCCTTTGGAATTCAGCCGGTAGAATACAAGGAAATGTAGGGAATCCCAGATACAAGGGCTGCACATCCCTGTAGGATTGCCTGTCCGTGTCCTATGGGGAGTGTCGACAGGTTTTCCAGGGATTTTTAAAGCAGCAGCCCATTCAGCCTGGAGAGAAGCTGCTAAATTGGTCTTGACCGCAGCCCTCCAGAACCAGGACTGAGCACTGTTCCTATACGAGATGTGAAGAGTCAGTGTTTGGAGTTGAACATTGCAGTGAGTGCAGAATCTGTCGGAGTCGAAGTGCGAGAGACGCGTTTTAGCAAGCCAAAAACCTCGGCAAGGGCTGTGTTAAACTATAGGTGGATGGTGTTTTGATTTCAACTTGGAGCCACAGAAACAACAGCCATTTAATTTATTTCAATGTTTGTTTATTTAATGTTTCAAGTATTTGTTTAATAATGCTGCTTTAGTCTGCTCTTAGCAGGCCTATAACTGAAATGAATGCATTCACGGCTCTTGAGCCTGATTGGCTATTGCTGCTGGACATCAGCCAATCAGGTTCCAAGACTGGAATAAGTCTGCTGGGTCAGGTTTGAGGTGAACTTTCACAATGCTGTATCTCTAATTTCAATTAGAAAAGAGAAAAATGAGGTTTGAAATTCATGATTACTGCTCTGGAATGTTTTGGGCTTCCTCGAATTATGGAATTATGAATTATGGCACAATTTGATTTAAGCAGGAGGCCTTTAATTGGAAGATCGTATAACCAGATTGTAAAAGATGAAAACCATTTTTAGTGTCAGATGACGAGAGGGCTGTTAACTAAGGGTTTTCCCCTGCCATATTAAAAAAAAAAGTATTTTGATTGTGCCATATAAGAAAAGAACAACTTGGTGGGTGTTTTCTTAGTTGGAGCTAAATGTGTTCAAAGCTGTCCTATCCATGGCTTGGGAACTATTTTATGCAAAATAATTAAAAGCTACTGTGTGAAAAAGATGAAGTCAAAATGTTGTAAAACTTGAGTACTTATATAAAGAGGAAGGGATCATTTGAATGCAGTGCTAGTTTAAAGGAAAGGTACTGTATTTAGATTCTAAATTTGAAAAGGGGGGACAAAGTGGGGTACATTTGCTTAAAATCCTTTGTAAACAGAGGCTTGCCTTTAACTATCTCTTTAAAATGGGCACTGAAGTCAGCCTTGCCCTTGTTTCATGTTCAGCGTTGAACGGGGACACTGCACACGTTTGCACACATGTATGCAGTGTCTGTTAGGGTGTGGTAGACTGACGCTGGAGCTGATGCTACCTTGTGGGCTAATTCTGTCAGATCTCCAGCCAGTTACTGCTGGACGGGCGGACTGTGGGAAACCAGCTGGCCGCAGTAGGTCACGCTGGTGGACCAGGGGGTAGGCCAGTGGGCCAGTAGCAGCCCTGTGGAGAGGGAACATAAGCTGTTTTTCTCCTGGCTACAGTACCCTATAGCCAGAGGGAGCCATAGTGCGCAGGAGGAAGGGGACTTTCCCCATTGGTGACAGGACTGGGGATGATCTATCTGGTGCCCATTCCAGAAGGAATGCCCTGGCTGATCCCATGATCGGTTTAAGTCTGCGTGATCAACTGTATCCGTCACCCCAACCTGTGTGTATTTATAGAAGGCTGTCAGATTATAGTGTTTGAGTGGCAACGAGCAAGTACACAGCTGTAAGCTGGCCCAGTACTTCCAGTAGGATGCGTGTTGTTGCAGCTAAGCTCCCCATTCGTTAATTAAATAATTACTTACTGGGTTGTTTTTTATTCTATTTTAAACGTTGAACAACCCGAAACAAGCGGAGGCAGTTCCGTTTAATAACGGGAACCTCATGGTCGGCACCCCTGAGCTGAACGAGTCTGGTTGGACTGTGGCCAGGAGGCGAGACCGGTACCAGAGTTGCTCTGAGCTGCCAGAGCGGACCAGCACCGCGGTTTCCCCAGCACCGCTCCATGCGCCCCCAGCGGCTGCTGGTTTGTGCTCCAGCTGAGCTCTTGGCTATTCAGTTAGACCCCACAATTAAATCATTTACTCTCTAGGTTTTCTATTCGGGCCTGTTTTCAGTGCCGGCACGGTCTTAAGATTCTGATTTGCTCGTGGCGAAGGGCAGGCAACGTGGCGGCTTCGCCCACTTCCTCACCAGTCACCAGGCCAGGGCCAATTAACGAGATCGCTGGTTTAATTAAGGGTCCGGCAAAGCTACCAAGCCCCGACGTCCTTCCAGGGACCAGAACCACAAACACCTCCTGGCTTTTGTTCCAATTGAGCCTTTCTAGTAGATCTAATAATAGGAACAAGTACCATGTTTATTCCCTGCTGAAAAGAGAAGAATGAAAACGTTTCGGCCGTGGAGCCTTCTTCAGTGCGAGGTCTTCTTTCTTCAGCATGGAATAGACCTACAGTAATCCTTGTTCCTTTGCAGCCTACGCCTGCTGACGCAGCTCCCCAGCTGATCTAATACCAGGTTTCATTCGAATGCTTCAACCGATTTCGGTCACTAACGGGTGGGAGGTCACCTTGAATGTTTTTTAAGCACCTCGATATCTCCAGCCCTGGAATGGGAGGGGAAGACAAATCTCTCGAGAGATTCTTAGCCAGGGGGCCCTGTTGGTTCGGTTCAAGGAGGGGTTGAAGCAAAGAGCTCAGCTGCAATGAAAACCAGGAGTGTGGGGGAGCCCCCCCCCAGGCCTGGGAAGGCTTGTTTTTATGGTGAATCACACTTGTGGCGTTCATGCGCCTGATTTTCCAACTCTCTTAAGGTACCAGGGGCCTTGAAGAGCTGAGAAGCTGTAAATTGGCCCCTTTAAGCCAGTATTAGTGGTTTTTATTAAGAGTGCAGGTGCAAAGAAAACCTGTGGGCATAACAGCCTTCTTGATGAATGTCCAGAATACAAATGACAACAGTAATCCGCATCAGCACTGTTGAAGATGCTCATTCTGGAAAGCCTAAACACAAAATGTCAAGTCTTTGAGGGCTACAGACCCAGTATTGGCAGAATAATCACTGTTCAGTATTGCAGTTTCATTTTGTTCCACCTGCATGAAATGTTCTGCTTTAATAAAAATCGCCATGTTATCACTGCGCATCGCTGTGGTTTTGACCTGCTTTGTAGAGAAGAAATGCTCCGTTTTCATCTGGTCACACTGGAGTACACGCCACAGTCCAACAAACGCAGTGCCGTTTCTGCTTCATAGCGAGATACTCGAAACCCGATCGAATATATATATATACACACACACCCTGAAAAAAGTTATCCCGCTTATTTAAGGTCCTGTAATTGTGTCTTGACAAAGGACACGGCGCTGATAATGAGAAAGGAAAGTCAAGGTGGATTTTACTTTGAAAATACACTATCAAGATAATTCCAGCACGCACATAATCCTATATTGAATTGTCACTTTATTTAACGGGCCACAAACAGGTACACTATAACTCATTGTCAGGCCTTGGGCTTCTGCTAACCCACTCTTTTAATATTTAGCCTAACACTACAAAGCAAAGCTTTTTTTTAACTCGTTCACTGAATTCAAAATACATCAGGATTTCTTTCAGCTCCCAGACTTTGCCGCCAAGACGTTACCGGGACTACTTTAACGACCACAATACGACCCCCCTCACCATCATATCGCTACGCCGCGTTAAATAGTGGTAGTACATTTTGCTTATACTCCAAACGGCACCGCAAATGTTAAAACGGACACGTTCAACTAAAAAAAGGTGGATAAATAAAACCACAAGGCGTTTAAATTCGAACTTCAATTACTTAAAAATTAAAAACCGATGATTTCTGTCGCGCATTGGATTACAAACGAAACCCTTTTACTTCGTTCGACCCCCACGGATCCATCCGCCCGACCAAGAAGGTCTCCGAGTCTCAGTTTCCACTTCCGGTGTCGTTCGGCCGCCATCTTTGTGCCGCTGCGAGAAATATAATAATAATAATAATAATAATTTTCTTTTTTTCTCTGCCCCTTCTCAAACAAAAAAAGTTGTATCAAGTAACAGCGAAGAAATCCGTATCCGAGTTCGGCGGGGGGGCGACGTGGAAACTCGACGGCATTCTCCCCACCGAGGTAAAGTAATCACTGGGCATCTCCCAAGTTTATCAACAGTAATCATGTTTTTAAAAGTTATTCTATTTTCATTACTTACGTACGGCGTGTTACGAACGAGACGAGACAAAAGAAGGAAAATGCCATCTCGAGTCAAAATACACGAGACGGACTATTGGTTTTTTCGCAGTAATGTCCCGTTTCGTTAACCATCGAGACGAAAAATAAAAGTTTTTTTTTTCCACATTTGTGCAACTTTTACCTTTCGAAAGCCGAGCCGTGTTTTGGGTTCTCAACTCGGGGAGTGGGAGGAGGGCAGAAACTCCGCAGTGAATATGTCTAAAAGCGCATACGGGGTAAAAAAACCGTCTCCTTTTTGGCGGCGATGTGTGGCGTGTGTATGTGTGCGCCTGGGAGTTTTTCAAATCCGATTATTATTGTCCACCGGATGTGGAAGTAGTTTTTTCTCTTCGTTGTTTAAATTGAAAATTCAGATCCGACTTCCCCCGGAACACCGACAACTAAATATTAAAGACCGTTTCCTGTCCGCCGGTGTGTTAAAGTCGGTTTCTTTAGGCGGGGGGGAGTCGCAGGTGGCAGGAACGCAGAAGGAAAACACTTTCAAAATCGTCTGCTCGCCCTTTGGAAGGAAGACTCCCTTTATAAAATCAGAAAATGGCTGCTTGCGCGGCTGACATGTGTTGTTTTGGTGGAGGGTGGGGGGGTTGTGATCTGCTTCACGGCGATCGGCGCGGTGCCCGGCCGTGTCCCGCAGTTAAACCGCGGGTTGCGCAAGTTTTTAAACTGCGGTTGCTTTTGGATTACAAGTACGCAGAACCCCCCCCCCCCTCCCCGGCTTTGTGGGGTAACTTGGTGCCCCCTTTACGGTTAACGGTCTGTTTTCAATTTACAAATTGAAGGATTGGACCCTTGCCGTGTCCCTTTCCTTTGAGATCTGTAAAAAATAAAATAAAATGGCTGCTTTTTGGACCCGGGTGGAATCCTAGCATTTGTGGGCAGCTCGTGATTCTCAAGCGGCTGGCCGGGGGGCAGGAGTGGCGCCTGGGATTCATTAAGAAGACGAGGCTGGCCTGTGCCTCTGCGTGGGGAGGGCCGTGATGCGCCAACGGTCATCCTGCGACAGGACTGAGGGGCTTTTTTCAGTCGTCAGTCATTATTTTCGCTGACTTCAAGAAAGGGGTTTGAAAAAAATGGTTTCGTTGCCCCCACTCAACAAAAAATTAAAAATGCATCTGATACGGAAATCGTTTTCTCTGGGGGAGGGGTTATTGACCCGATGGTGTGTTGGGAGTGAAAAAGTACCCTAATTAGTCGTTTCTTTTGTCTTTTTGTGGAAGAAGCAAACAGCATTAAATGATATGTTTGAACTGTTGTTAAAATACTGTCCCTGTCGACGCTGTGATCATCTCTCTGGGCTGCCTTTAACGTGACACTTGATATCCACTGCTCTGACTCCACATTTTCAGTCCCTGTTCCCAGTGAGCTAACCAGGTTGCACTTGCAATCCAAAGGCCAGCTTGCGTGCTTGATGATCCTAAAATGTTATGTTGTGCTTCACTGTCTGCACTTTCTTGTGCTGTGTTTTATTCCCAGTGTAGAATTAGCCCTCCCTCTCCACTTGCCTGGTGACTGCCCTGCTGCTGGACACGCGCGTGTGTCTGTTCATGCACGCTGCACATGGCTGCCCTGTCTCAGGGCGCGGTCTGGTACACAATGGCAAGACCGCTCACCAGCTCCCTGTCCCCCATAATGCAGTGCGACTGGCGCATCTCTGATCACTCCATCAATCAGTTCATCATCAGTTTTGATCTTTTATAGCACCCTTCAGTCAGAGCATTCTCCGGGCACTTTACATAGATTATACACGAAAAAGAAAATTATCCAGAAGCAGAAAAAAATAATACAAAACTGTAGAAATCAAGAACATATAAATCAGAATTATGTCAAGAATGGGAGGTGAGAAGAAATAACTTCAGCTGAGGGTGTTTCTGATATGATCAGGAGGCGTGTTCCGAAGCTGAAAAGGCTCGTTCTCCCGATGCCATGGAGCTCCGCTTGTGTGTGGGGGGGTACTAACCAGTGCTAATTCCTGCTGACGGCAGGACCCCAAAAATCTTTCTCTGCGAAAGGTGTAAATTGAGCAGCATTTTCAGAAAGGTAGACTTGACGAGTCCATTGGTGTGAGCTCAGACACTGGCAGGGTGAGACCAACTCCTCCAGGTGGGCTGTTCTTCCTAAGGAGAACGAGTTGAGACTTCTATTTGCTTGATTTCTGTAGGTATTCCAACAAATATACCCATGCAACATGGCAAGCAGTTTAAGAAGCACTCCAGATATCAGCCTCATTTCAAAGCATGCACGGGGTGGCATTCATTAAAAGACACGAGCTGGAAAAAATCAGATGTGCAATTTCAGAATTGATCGCAGAGCGTTTCTGAAAGTCCTTTTCGCATGTTTCCGGGAATTGAAAAAAATATGAAAAATGTCTTTTATGAAGTGAATAAACCAAGTGATTCTTTATCTTCATCATCATAAACTTTATTTGGCTTCTTGGAGCACTTACATGTGCTTTTGTGATGTTATCTTGAATCCTAGCTATATAAATACACTTGCTCTCTTTTAACTATTTGAGATGAAAATTAAGACTGTACTTGCAGTCTACAAAAATACTGTAGTAAAGCACCAGCCCTTTAACGTTAAATCTTCATGTCAAGTTGAACTGTCTGAAACGTGAGCCCCTAGTGTTTTAAAATGTGAGTTTGTTTGAAGCGGTCGTCGAGCTCTGGTGCAGGATGATGTGCAAAGTGATCACCCCGTCACCTTCCTCCCATGCGTTGTGCTCCAGAGATGTGTCCTTGCCATTGTGACCAAGTCACGTGACTCGTGGCAGTCTAGCTGTTGGCAGAAGCCCGTGAGACGTGTGCCCAGCTACCCTTCCAAACAGAGAGGTTGTGCTGTCTTGCCCGTCACCGACAGCAGGTGTCAGTGTCCGCTTAAAAAAACTGAACAAGTCTATAAATTGAAGCCGATTCTGTCTCGACGTCAGTGTCATTAAATGCATTTAACTCTTAACTTGAACCTTGAACAGGCAGCATAAAGACCCCACAGTGCATTTGGATTTGTAAATGGAAAAAAAAAAACGCTTTTTGTAGTTAATGCAACAAAGGAATTCTGACGTAGTGTTGTTTAGTGGTGTGGGGTTCAGCATTGCTGCCTCACAGCGCTGGGGCCCCGGGTTCAATCCCAGACATGAGGAACTGTCTGTGTGGAGTTTGCATGTGTTTTTCCGCTCTGTGCTCCGGTTTCCTCCCTCTTCCCAAAGACGTGCTGGAGGGTTTGTTGGGCTCTGTGGACATCAGCCCTGGTGTGTGTGTGTCTGCGCCCCGTGATGGACCGGTGTCCTGTCCAGGACGTCTTCTGCCTTGTGCCCCGTTGCTTGCCAGGATAGACTCTGGCTCCTCCGTGACCCCTGAAATGGAAGGAGCAGTTAGGAAGCAGAGGGATGTTGTGTAGTGGCTGGGGTCTGGGACTCTGGACTGACCGGCCGTGGGCTCCTGTCCTGGGTGGGGCACTGCCACGGTGCTCCTGGGCAAGGGGCTTCCACTCGGACCACAGTAGCAAACGGCCTGCTGAGTACATTCCGTCATGGTGAATGACAAGGTGCTATCATGTGACTCCTCAGGTAACATAAAGGAATAGAAAAATGCAGTTTAAACGGAGGAGTGGTGTAAAATAAAAGGGAAATTGTTATGTCTGCTACATGAAGCCTGTTAACTTGGTCTGTGGCCTGTTGTGAACAATCACAGCCATAAAAGTTCCAGTGTTCATTATGACATGAATCACTCATTGACGATTCCACTTCTCCCCATCTTGTAATAAGACAGGACTGTATTGATCCGCTGCCTTAAAAGTTTGTCATTTGTTTGTTTTCTTTTATTATTAATTTTTCATTGTTGTTGTTATTTTTCTGTTTTGTACGTCAGTTTATTGGATTTGCTTTGTGCAAATTGGACATTTGCAAGGAAAATGGACAATAACGGCTATAACACAGGTGTTGAGGAAATGAGAAACAGAGATCTTACTGGTTAAATGTGGGGAATGTGCAGCAGTGCTCAGGGTTCTGCACTCACAACTGGAAGGTTGTGGGTTCGAATCCCAGGTGAGACACTGCTGTTGTTCCCTTGAGCAAAGATATTCAACCCGAGTTGTGCCAGTAAAATACCCAGATGCAGGAATGGGTGCAAATGTAGTTGCTTTGGATTAAAGTGTCAGTCTAATAAATGAGTAACGATAATGACTAGTTCAGAAGCAGAAGACAGTATTGATCTCTGCAAGGCTATCTTCCTTTTCTGCATGCTGCTCCTCTCTCTGGCACATGAAGGCACCCAGCTGGTGAACACAGTGCATCAATGTTGCCTTTCATCCAGGGCATCAGACTCGCTTCCTGGAGTCTGCTGGGTACTGTTGCAAGAGCAGTATTAGGCTGCATAAAGTAGTCAGGTTTCTTCTTCTTCTTTCTTGATTTAAGAAAGAAGTACTGGTTTTAAATTCATCCACTTCAGCTTGCTGCCGGGCCAGTACAGTATCCAAAATCTCAGTTCGAAAGAAACCAAGCTGCAAAAAAAATATTGCCGCTCGCCGGGAAAGGAGTGCAATACTCCGGTTTTATTTTGATCCACCGTCTGAATCAACCCCCCCATCTTGACAGAAGAATACTGGACAGAATCCCGTACTTTCTTTTAAGTTCCTCCTCCTGTTTTTCGCAGATGTCCCTGGTGGATTTAGGAAAACGGTTGTTGGAAGCCGCTCGGAAAGGCCAGGACGATGAAGTCCGGTCGCTTATGGCCAATGGAGCTCCCTTCACCACGGACTGGGTAATCACACTGGACACGCCGTCCCGCCGAGAGACACGGCTGTTCTTGTTAGAAACCGCTGAGGAAACTGGCACCTTCTAGTGCTGCGTATCCTTAAAAACAGTCGGCCCTTCATAGTTTTGGACGGGGCGGTAAAAAAGAAACGTGACGGGCAAATAAAAAATGCTGCTGCTGCGTTTGTCAGACGTCG